CTGGCCCTCAATTGAGAAGTCATGTCATGAGTGGGAGAATGCAGGCAGAGGCATGCCCTCCACCGAACTCTGAATGGGGTGGCTGGGCTGCGCTCTGAAAACCAAGAGAATCACCCCATGTGCACACAGACAGTGAGCCATGGATTTGCATCAAGGTTTTATCGTATTTGGTGAGGCTCAGTAAGAGTCACTGGGGCTCTCTTGAAGGAGATGGATCATATATTTCTAAGGGTCACGAAGACAGCAGCTGAAAAGCTTCCATGTACAGAAGGTCCTCTGTTAATTGAGTACAGCCTTCATTCTCCCCTCTTCACAAATAAACCTGCTCCCTCCGCATCTCATTCTATTTGCCTCCTCCAAGATCCTTGATGGAAAGGGCAAACTTCACCTTTTTTTTTTTTTTAAGTGAGGTACTGGGGATCGAACACAGGACCTCCTGCGTGCTAAGAGTGCACTCTGCCGCCGAGCTATACCCACCCACCCCCAACCTCACATTTTTTGAAACCTGCAGCCACAGTGGAGGAATTTCCAGATACGCTTGTGATGCCATCCTGACTTAAAACAAACACGAGTGCGTTTGGTTGGAGTTTAAACAAACACAGATTTGTAGCACCTCAGGTGTCAAAGATCAGTAAAAACAAATCTTAGTGAAATGAAAGAAGAAAATAATTCCAAGAATAATAGCTTGGAATAGTAGATTGATCTCACTGAAGATTGTTCCAAAGAGATTATGGTCTGGAGAAAAACACTAACAGGCTTCCAGGGGTTAAAATCTCATTACTTGCGTATTTATACTACAGGAAAAGAACATAGGTTTTGTGGTCAGATGGACTTGGGTTCTTGTCCTGGCTCTGTAATTTTTAGACAAGTGATTTAACCTCTTTGCAGCCCTTCTTCCTCATCCATAATATAAAAGTCAAAAACCTCTAACTACACTGTTCTGAGGCTGACCGCGTGCACAGCATCTAGTACAGCGCCTAGTTTAGAGAAAGACATCAACAAGTGCTAGTTCCCTTCCATCCTCCATCCCTTGAATCTGCCTGCCGTAGATGAGCACAGAAGGTTAATGCCAGGATCTTGTCCCCTCTCTCAGTGATGAAAAACTGCTTCCTTCTACCTTACCAGGCTAGAGGGAAGTTACAGTTCTACAGAGTTAACAGGGGCACGTTCATGGGGAAGGTCCCTGCAGTGGTCGGGATAGGCTAGGCACTGCTGCAGTAAAAACAAGCCCCGCTGCTCTGTGGCTTAACACAATAAAGGTTTATGTCTCTTTCATATAATCTGTCCGCAGTGGGTCAGCATTGCTTAATTTAGTCACTCAGGGACCGAAGACCCCACCATCTTTTGATGCCACCATTTTAACACAGGATTGACAGTTCATTGTCAGAGGAGAAGAACACAATGATAAAAAAAAATATGTAGTGGTGGCTCTTCATGGCTTCCAGAGGGAAGCGATATATGACACTTCCTCTCACATTTCAAAGGGACAGGGGGGTGCAACCCACTCAGGTGCCTGCAAGAGAGGAGATTCAGAGAGTGAGGCCCTTGTTCCAGAAGAAAAGGGGTGAAGGGCATGCACCTGATATGACCAAGTCCACAGAGACTCCGGAGAACCCTGCTGCGGTCACTGTAGGGCCCTGACTCCCCTGTTCCTTTCTTGGGAGGCAGCTTTGCATGGGGGGCCCCCAGGTCTTTGCCAGGATCTCATCCAAGCCCATTCTTACCTGGTTCCTACTTGTGAGGGGCTCTCTGAAGTTTCCATTATTAACTTGTCTAAATAACTTGTATGCCTTTCTCAGCCCACATCCAAGTTGCCAAACTTTTGGATGCTTCATGACAACATGATCACAACTGTCACTTGGTCACCTTATTTTCACCTCATATCGAATTAAACTCCTGGTATAGCTGATGCTCACACAATTTTTGCTTCTTTCCCAGAAACGCTCAATCAATATCTCCCTTATTTGCTTCCCATCTGTGGTTGGCTGACTGCATTAATGGCCCCCATTTTTCACCCCTCCCTGTGTACAGGCCCCCTGCACATGGCCTTGCATGGCCTCCTGCTAAGGACGTGGAGTTTATTTCTCTAGGAATTCAAAGGCCTTGTGAAGAGCCGTGTTCAAGGAGATTGTCCTGTCGGGGGATTTGGCAGCAACTGAGTTTGGCTGTGATGAGTCAGGAGGGAGCCTCCACTGTGATTTGGGCTGGTTCAGTCTGTTTGAAGCAGGACCCCAGCTGGGGAGTAAGGCCCTAGGTCCAGGAATGCGAGGTCAGCAGGAGCTAAGCAAAGGGTAGCCAGGCCCAAAGGAGCCACCAGAGGTTTGGGCTGAGGGTCCAAGAGGGCAGCTGGGGACTAGCCAGGATACGGAAACAGGAGACCAGGACCCAGGAGAGGGTGCTGGAGTGACACAGCTAGGCTCATTGGACTCTGCTGAAGATCGCAAGACAAGTTTCAGAAACCAACAGGTAGAGAGGGGGATCCTGGGTTCTTTCCAGGTTCGGTCAGCGTGGGGTAGGCAGGGCTGGTGGCTGCTACCCTAGTCACTCCCTTCTCTCAAGATTAGACAGTAGCAGCCCACTGATCCAATGGTTCTCATCCCTGCTTGCAAATCAGATCACCTGGCACACTTTGAAAAACACTAGTGCCTGGGCTCAACCCCCCAGCAACTCTGATTTGATTGGTCCTGGCTGGTAGGATATGTCATTACTGGTTTTATTTTTATTGAAGTAGAGTTGATTTACAATGTTGTATTAGTTTCCAGTTTATTTACAGCAAAGTGATTCAGTTACACATATATATTCTTTTTCAGATCTTTTTACCATTATAAGTTATTACAAGATATGGAATATAGTTCCTGGTGCTATACAACAGGTCCTTATTGTTAATAGGATACATCATTATTAATACTGTACAGCTGGAGTGGAGAGCCACTTACCTAATATGCCTGTCCCCCAGCCCTCCCTCCCAGGGCAGACCTCCAGACTCATCTTTCTAACCCATAGTTCAGTTAGGCATCCTATCTGCAATTCTTAAAGAAAAAAATTAACATTCACGCACAGGTATACAAGGATGAAAAAAACTTTTTTTTTAAGAGTCACTTTTTAATCTGCTGATTACACATGCAAGTTATTTAGATTTAGAACCTGTAAGGTAACCAAATACAGTTATTTGTCCCAGCCATATACTGCATGCCCTCCAGAGTAATGATCTGAGTCCTTAAAAAGACAAGCAGTGTATTGAAAGCCTTCAGAGTACTTTGCATTAAAGAGATTCCTTAAAAGATAAATTTAAAGCAGATCATAGCAACTTAAAAATGACAGAATATTAGCTTATCAATATATATATTTTTATCTATTCTCACCAAAGCCTGGAATTCCAATTCTTAATACAGAATCTTATGTGCTAAAGAGAAGAGAAAAGAGGATGCTAGGATTGACCACCACTGAGGACTTCTTTGGGATCAGGCATCAAGGCAGGCCTCTTGGAGGCAGTGCTATTTGATTTCAAGCCTGAGTGAAGAGAAGGTGGCATTTCTGGGACTATCGAGGGGAAAAGATTTCCAGGCAGTCGGAATCATCAGCAAGAAATCTCTGCAGAGGATTCTGGCTTGGTGGTCAATGAAGAAAGGCCACAGTGAAGCCTGTTCAGAAGTTTTTTATCCAAAATGTGGAGACCCTAATCAGCTGAAGGGCAGAAAATGAACACCCAAAATAAATGAGGAGTAGGAGCCAAAGACAGTTTCAAAAGACCACGAACAAGCACAGCTGGTGTTACAGACAAGGATGCTGGGGACCATATTACGCACTTTTGCATAACGTTTATCAAGAACAGAGAATGGCGTGGCCCTGCTCGGTTTTCCCTATGAGTGATACAAAATAATCTTTTATTAATATTATTTTAAATTTGCTACCATTGTACATGATCTCAGAAGACCAACTAGAGAACATTTGATAGAAATCAAAGGAATAAATGAATATGAAAGAAAAGACAATTATATGCCCCAATAAAAATGTCCGCCCATTCTGCTACACTATAAAGGATTTTGTAAATGTAAATATTGTACATAAATGTTAAATAAATATATTAATGTAATCTTCCTCTGGGTTTTTTTTAAATAAGCATCTCAGTAGGCAAAGAATTATCATTTCATATGTAAAAGTGCTCTCAGGCTGTTTTCCAGCCTCTGACAGTTACCACAAGGAAGCCATTACCTCAGTAGAGACAATGTGGGTGACAGTTGAAAGCCCTGGATTGGGAGCAGACAGAACTGGGTCCAAATTCCTACTTTGCTGTTTAATAGTTGTGTGACCTCAAACAAAGTATGCAGTCTGTCTAAGCCCTTGTATCGAAATGTGCAAAATGTGATGATTCTTTTTGTTTCAAATTGTCATTGTTGGAACAAAATGAGGTTATTCAGAGAATATGGCTCAATGGCTGTGACATCCCATGTTCACTGTTACCATCATCGTCTCATCAGAGGGCGTGGGTGCGTGTAGGGATCTCGTAATCGTAAACTTGGAAATACACAAGGATACTCAGGATGGAAGAAAACTGTGGCATGGCTGCTCCCCTCCCGGTGGAAGACTTGGAATGGACCACGAGCCCTCTGTCCCTTTATCCATCAATCCTCTCTGACAGTTAAGAATCCAGAAAGGACAAGATCAGCCTGTTACCAGCTTGTCTGTGCATTTAGCCTCGCCAGTTTGGCTTTTCATCCCTCATTCAGGCATTTGACAATAATCTTAAAGAATTAAGAATGGTTTCTGGAGAGAATTCTTCCTGCAACAAACTGTCACCTGGAAACCCACAAAGGATATCACCCTTTCATACAAACAGGAAGCCAATTATACAATAATTAGTTGCTTTGGAGAGTTGTAAAGATTAATGTTATTCATGATGGGGAAAGATACTCTACTTCAGGCATATTTTGTATGCTGCTAGCAGGGGTATAAACATTTTTTCCCTTTTCTGCTCAAAACAAAGACAATGAGTGCATTAATTAGGAATGATAGGATTTATTCTAGGTAACAGCTCAGAATATAAATTGAGAGATGAAAAGGACTCCATAATCAGAAATCATCCATCACCACCTCCTCTGCTGGTGAAGTTACACTTCTAGAGTTCCAGTGCTGTCTGTCCTGAGATTCATTCTGCTTCACGGTTTTGGACTCTCCACAGAGTAACTGATCAAAATGACTCCAGCCTTGTGCTTCCCCAGAATAACTACAGCCTCCTCTGGACAACCAGCGGTCCTTGAAGACTCAGCGTCTTTTGACAGGAGGAGATGGCTGTTTCCTCACTGACATCATTAAAGACCTGGTGTATCAGGATGAAAACCTTTGTTCCCTGTTGGACCAAAAAGACACATAAGGTTTAAAAAAACAGGCTGCCTCTTTTAGCTGCTGCTACTGATGGCACCATCATCTCATAAACACAAATTCTTAAGGGTCTAGCTTGGGTGCAAGCACACTTAATAATCCAAGTGCTAGATGGATTCTGTAGAACAAACAGGCTGTTTAGTTTCATGGGAAAAAAATAATGACCCCAGAGTGAGGACTTGGGTTCAAGTCTAAGGTCAGTTACTGAGCAGCTGAGTGACCTTGGGCATGGCCATTTCCCTTCTCAGAATGTATTTACTCATCTATAAAATGGGAATGGTAATATTTATTCCAGGTTCCTCCTAGCCTTGTGGTAGAAGTGAAAACAGAGTGTGTGGAGGTGCCATGACACCTGCCAGAGGAGGCGCCATGTAAGGTGTCATTGTCCCCGATTGCTGGGAATCATTGAACGCCACATCCTCAGACCACATCAGCAAGCTGACACCTGACAAATGAGAACTCATTACTGTGTCATATCCCATTGTCTCTGGCTGTTTTCATCCTCAGCTGATGGGTGGGCCTACGGTGCCCTGTCAGCATAAATCCTTGGTAGAGGGCATCTCTCTAAAGGTAGCATTCCTAGCCCCTGCCCCACGCCATCTCTTTCCACGTGCTCATACAGCCAAACAACTCGCACTTAAAATGCCTAAAGCAAGAAAAGAGAAACACGGGAAGCACACAGACACCTCTGTTTCAGATTCGCCCACTTTTGTCAAGATTCTTTATAGATCCAAAGGGCCACAGCCTCAACTCTTGAGATCTCTGTATAATAATAGCTATTTAGTTACCATTTGTTGAGCACCTACGGTAGTTGGTCATGGTGTGGACTACCTCACAACTGACGTATGACATACTGTTACTGCTCCAAATTGAAAGACTGGGAAATTGAGACTTGGAGAGGTTAAACAGCTTTCCTGAGGTCACACGGCTGGCTAGTAACTGGCAGAGATGGGACTAGACTCTCGGTCTGCTTGGTTTCAAAGTACATGGTCTGACTACTACATTGTCAAGTCTTTCCTGAAACATTGTTCTATTGTTCCTGTTAGTTTTGTCTAGAATCTACCCTTGGGATAGATGGTTATAGAGCATTCAGACGTCCTTCAGCATCAAACTCAATACTGTCAAAGAATTCATTTTTCCATCCAACAGCTATTTCCATCCTGCAAACACCTACTGTCTGCCGGGCACAGCACTGGGGAGGGACTGGTCACAAGCTATGAGTGAACCCTATCCCCTAATCCTGTAGCGCTTCCAGGTGAGGATGGAGGAACCACAACCTTCTCCCTAAGATTTGTGGGTGTGCAGTGCGTTAGGAAAATCTCTTCAAATTAAAATCCAAACTCATGGGGATTTTCTTTATCATCTACAAAAAGATTCACCTTAGGATAGGATTTCTTTAATTTCATTCATTCAATCCATGAAACAGTAAATATGTTAGGGCTCTAGTAGGAGTCAGTCACCGTGCTAGTCAATCTAAAGGTAATACTGCATCTGTAAACCCTTTGTTTACTCACAGCCATTCCAGAAACACTAGGGAACATCTAATGTTAACACGTGTTAATTCTCAGTTATCCATCCTGACGGGGAAAGAAGGTAGTTGGGATAAAAGGTGTATATATATGCATCCATCTATCTAACTATACTTCACACTTTAAACTTCTACAAAGATCTTTTGAGCTTATAAACAATCCTCTCAATTTGCTCTGTGGAAGACATATTTATAAATGGTACAATAGCTAAAATTAGGCTGCAAAAAAAGAGGTATACAGGGAGAATGGAAAGGCAGAATAGCTAAGCCAGAAGTGAAGTAAACTCTTCAATAACTATCATTGTTTTTAGTGAGTTTTTCGTGGTTTCTGAGCATCCAGATCAAATCAAGCTTTCATTTTTCTGAATGATGCTACCACTCTGTACCATTAAGCTTAGTTTCAGATTTGTGGGGGCCTTCTCTTGGAGAGATGCAAACTCCTTGAAGGAAATAGCCCTGCCATATTTCTTTACACCGCTACAGTGAACAAAACAATTCTAGGCACATAACAGGCACTGAATGTGTACTTGCTGATTAGTATATTAAGATTCTTGGAGAGGTAACAGTAGTACATGAAGGATTTCAGAGACCAAAAGCAAAGGTATTACCTAAAAGTCACTATCTTCCCATTTGGTGAAGAAGGCAATTAGAATATCGTGGTAAAGAAGCCAAGTTCTGTCATTTTCTATTTCTGCATCTTTGGAAAAATTACTTAATCTTCTGTGCATTGGTTTATCTTCATCTGTAAAAATGAAAAAAATAAGAGTGTCTATATTTCAAAGCTGTTGTGAAAATTAAATTAGTTAATACAATAGGAGCATTTACAATACTAACACATGATATATATATAATAAATGTTAACCATTCATGATTATTTTCTCTTACTTTTGAGAATGAAAAAGTCCTTTAAAATGAGAAAATAAGATATAATAGATTGAATTATTTCAAACATAATAGGAAATTCAGTCCTTGCCACCAGCAAGCTTCATTTAAACAATGAAATTCAAGCATGACTCCCAGGTAAAGAAGGCAGATCGCATACAAGCAGCTCCTTTCACTCCCGAACAAGACCATTAAAATGGCAGGAAACAATCTTTCCAAGGAATAAACTCACAAGGATTTGGAGAATAAGAGAGGACACAATGGCAACAAAGACTTTTCAGTCAGATCCTCACATAGATGGAAACTGGATTTATAACAGTTCCGGCACAGATTGCAGAATGGTGGGGAGGGATTAGAGAGGTGGTGAAAAACACAACGGAGCATCCAAGAGACATGGGACGATACCCAGAGATCTAACCTGTGTGTAACTGGCATCTCAGGGGGAGAAAATAAAGAGAAACAGTACACAAGAATTTTCTAAAGTGAATGACAGATACCAAACAATAGTTTCAAGACAGTCAAAGAACACCAAGCAGAATAAATGCTCCCCCCAAAAGCACTGCCACATCATAGGCACATCCTATACAAGCTGCTGAAAACCAGAGACAAAGAAAATTATGAAGGCAGCCAGTGAAAAAAGACATAGACCATATAGAGGAATAAAAATTGAAGATAAGAGCTGCAGAAACCACTCAAGACAGAAGATAAGGAATGGGGTCTCTGTAGCTGAACAACAGAAACCTGTCAAGTCAGAATCCTATACCCAGAAAAAAGGTCTTTCAAAAAGAAAAAAGAGATACTTTCCTGAACCAAAAACAGAAAACAAATCTGAGTGAATTCAATGCCAGTAGACCCACACTGCAAGTAATGTTAAAGAAAGTTCTTCAGGCAGAAGGAATACAGTAGCCGGCGGAACCTTGACTCTACACAAAGAAATTAAGAGCACCAGAAATGGAATAACTAAAGGTACACAAAGTTCAAAATTTATTTATTAATATTTTAATTGCTCTGAAAGATAATTACCTAAAGCAGAAATAGGAGTATTGTGAATTTATAGCATATGTAAGAGTAAATATGTAGCAATAATAGAACAAGAATGAGAAGGAGAAATGGGGATATAGTGTTGTCTGTATACTAGACATGAAACAGGATATTATTTGAAAGTAGACGTTGATTAAATAAGATGTACATGGTAAACCCTAAAGTAACTGCTAATTTTTTTTCAGAAGAGGTATACATGGTAATTCAATAGTGGAAATAATATTGAATCATAAAAAAAATGCTCAATTAATCAAGGAGGCAAAAAGAAAGGAAAAAAGAAACAAAGAACAAATGGAACAAATAGGAAACAGCTGGTGAGATGGTAGATTTTAATTCAACCATATCAATAATCGCATTAAGCCACACTAATTCAAGGACAGATTGTTAGACTAGATAAAAAGCAAGACCAAACTATATGCTGCCTACAAGAATACCGCTTTAAATATAAAGACATAAATAGATTAAAAGTAAAAGTATAAAAAAAGATATTCCATGCACTCGTTCAAAAGAAAGCTGAAGTAGCTTTATTAATATCAAACTAGACTTCAGACAAGAAATATTACCAGTGATAGAGAGGCTTATTACAGAATGAAAAGGGATTCAATTCTCCAAGAAGACAAAAACATTTCATGATTTTATGCCTATAAATTCAACAACCTAGAGCAAGTGGACAAATTTCTCAAAAAGTACATTTTACCAAAATCAGCACAAGAAGAAATAGAAAAATTCAAAGAGCTTTATATCCATTTTCAAAATTGAATTCACAATTTAAAACCTTTCAACAAAGAAAACCCTAGGCCCAGATGGCTTTACTCACAAATTCTATCAAAGGTTCAAAGACAAAACTAATACCAAACTCTGTGTTTGTGTAACAGACTCTTTGAGAAAATAGAAGGAAATGCTTTTCAAGTAGTTTAATGAGGCCAGCATAACCCTGGCACCAAAACCTGACAAAGACATTACAAGAAAAGAAAATTAGAGACCAATATCCTACATGAATAAATATACAAAGTCCTCAATAAAGTATTAACGAATCAAATTCAGCCTTATATGAAAAGGTTAAATGTTATTAATAAGTGGAGCCTATGCCAGGATTATAAGGTTGGTTTTACATTATGAAATCAGTAGTTGTAATTCATCACATTAACAGAATCAAAGAGAAAAAAATAACATCTCAATTGATGCAAAAAACACTTCTGACAAAATGTCACACCCGTTCATGAAGAAAATCTCAAAACACTAGGAAAAGAAAGGAAATTCACCACCCTAATAATGGGCATCTATGAAAAAACAACAGTGAATGTCATACTTAATGGTGAAATATTGAATGCTGCTTCGTTCGGGAACAAGACCTCCACTCTCTCCGCATCTATTCAACAATATACTGGAAGCCCTAGTTCAATAATGTAAGAAAAAAAGAGGTGTATAAATTAAAAAGAAAGAAGCAAAACAGTCTTTTTTACAGTTGACATGATTGTATATATAAAACATTCTACGCAGTCTACCCCCTGAAACTACTACAACTGAAAAGTAAATTTAGCAAAGTCACAGGAATTGAGGTCAATATACAAAATTTAATTATAAGTCAATATTTTACCAGCAAACTATCAGAAAATGAAGTTAAAAAATAATTCATTTACAATCACAGGAAAAGCATAAAAACTACTCAAAAATAAATTTAAGAAAAGATAGATAAGACTTGTATTCTGAACACTGCTACATATTGCAGAAAGTTATTAAGTAAAAATTTAAACCATATAACACACTTAGGGATTGGAAAAATTAATATTGCTAAAGTGTCAGTTCTCCTCTAACCTATAAATTCAGTGCAATTCCAATCAAAATTTCATGAGGCTCACAGTAGAAATGAACAAACTGATTGTATATGTACATGAAAATGCAAAAGATAAAGAATAATAAAAGTAACCTTAAAAACAAGAACAAATTTGGAAGACTTATACTACCTGCTTTTAAGACTTACTATAAAACTATAATAAAGACACTGTTACTTGCACAAAGATAGATAAAGTCAGTGAAGCAGAATAAAGTCCTGAAATACACACACTCACATTCACACGCACACATCCAAGGGGGATAGGAAAGTTTTTGCAACAAATGATGCTAGAACAATTGCATATCCATATGTAAGAAAGAAGGAAAGAACCTAGACCTCTACTTTACACCATACTCAAAAATTAGATTTAAGTGGGAAGCCTTCATATGAAATCTGAAACTAGAAAGCATCAATGTTTCCTAAAAGGAAATACAGGAGAATATCTGCACTATCCTGTGGTTGGCAAAGAGTTCTCTGACAGGATACAAAAAGCCCTAGTCATAAAAAAGAAAATCATAAAATGGACATAATGAAAATTTAAAATTTCTGTTCATCAAAGGACAGCATTAAGATGAGAAGATAAAATACAGACTGGGAGAGATATTTGCAAAGCCTATTTCTGACAAAGGACTTGTCTAAACTATATAAAAAGTCTCTGAATCAATAATAAATAGACATCCCAATAGCCCCAAAATGGAAACAACTTGAGCATCAACAAGTAAACTGACAAACAAATGGCAGTTTTCTCGTACAGTGGAATACTGTTTGGTAGTTAAAAGGAGTCAATTTCTGCATGAATCTCCAAGACATCATTTTGAGCAAAAGAAGCCAGAAGCCAGGCACAAAAGAGTACCTACTGTGTGATGCCATATAGAAAGTTCTAGAGCAGGTGGAGCTAATCTGTGATTAAAGAAATAAGAAAAGTGATTGCTTCATGGAAGGGGACTGATTGCAAAGGTGGAAAAGGGAACTTCCTGGGGTGATGGAAACGCTCTGCAGTTTGGTGCACAGTTACATGGGTAGACTCCCTTGTTACAATTTATTGAACTGCACATTGAAAATCTGTGCATTTATTGTCTATAAATTATGCCTTGGTTTAAAAAAAGGGTAATTAAAAAACCCACCTTCATGGTAAGTGGAAGAAGCAAGTCACAGCAATATGATTCCACTTATACAACAGAGAACAGGTAAAGCGGCACAACCTATTTCTCACTGTGGGTTTATATTCTAAATAATCTGCCGCAAGACTTGAAAGCGGTTGCCTCTGACAACCGGCTTGAGATGGCCATTTTCCTTCACAGAACTTCCACCTATTTGATGCTTCAAAATCTGTGCATATATAACTTTAGTAAAAATAGAGACCAAAATAAATAAATAAATAAAATCATACCCATTGGCATTGGAGATTACTAGCTTAGATAGAGAATTGTGGACATTTGTTTCAAATAGGAAATTACTTCTGATGGGTGAATCCGGCAGGAGCTTCAGGCTGTGAAGTCCAGGAGACCTAGTCCATTTGCTGTTGGTTGTGTCACAGGGGCCACCTTATTACCAGTCAAGCATCAAAGACAGCGGGGGAAACTCAGCACATCGTGGGTGACAATACACTGGAAGAGAGTGCACTGAATTATTTAGAGTAAGGGGGGTAGAGCTGTGACAGAAAACTGGTCTGTACTCCCTAATTACAAAGTCTCACTTTCACCAAACTGACACCAACGTACAGGCAAATTAAATATCGTCTAATTAACCAGCCTACACAAGATTTCAAGCCCAGTGCCTAGGTGGGATTCAGCCGAAAAAAGGAAACAAGGACTTGCAAATTCGCAGCCAACCCCCATCGGCCATCTCAGCCAACTGCTACAAGATTTGTCCATTTTGTTTTCACACATCTCTCCTTTCAGGGCTCTGCTTGTAATATTTACAGAAAAAGGCAATGCTGGTAAACAGTTTCACACAATGAGGTGTGAGAGTTGATAGGGTCCTATTCAAGCTCTGAACTCTCCTGATGAGCTGCCAAAAGTTGTTATGAATGGCCCGGCTGACAGGGTGATGACTGATAAAGGAAAAAACAAACAGCTCTGGTAATTCATGAAAACACACAGCGCCAAGACAACTCAAAGTGGCGAGTGACAGTTAAGATAATGGAATTTTGGAAGCTTTTCTTAAGGGGTCCTCTCTATAGAATTATTCTGTTAATAGATTCTCCCTTAATGTAGCTGGATCTTCAACTTTTTTTCCACCGAAAAATATTTATTATGATCGCCAGCAGAGAGGTGCTGGCCTGTGCTTTTATACTATGGTCAGTTTTCCATACAATTTCCTCTTCCCAGAGCTGGATGAATTTTAGTTGAGGCCCGTGTCTGCCATTTAAAGAACGAAAATATCCCATTTCCATTTCTATTACTGGAAACACTTCGAAGCTCTCTTCCCTCATTTCTTTCATTTATAAACCATTGGCCACAAACCTTTGATGAGAAAATAAATATCGGTTTACACACTCAACTGCTAATATTTTAAAAGAGAACAATTTAAATGTGGCTGAAGTCAATTTCCAATTCACATAGCCTATTTGGGGTTCATTTCCTTAAATCAGGCGTGACCAAGCAAGAAAGTACCAATTTGTCAATGTTTTGCTTTTGTACCCAATGTTTTTTCACGAAGTGCATTGTGGTTTCTGTAACAATGGCCTATTTCTCAATTAATGTTTTAGAAAGCAGGAATATAAAGACATACACAAAGGAAGTGTACGTGCACACAAAATACTGCGCACAGGGGGACATGTTCAGAAGATCTTTTTTAGAGTCTGGCTACCATGGGGTCTGAGGATAAGCAGCTTTTTAGAAATGCAGAATCTCAGTCCTACCCGAGCCCCCCACTGAATCACAGAATTTGCATTCAAACAAGATCCATCCCCAGGTGATTCATATGCACATCAAGGTTTTGAGAAGCTCTCTCATTTAGATGATTGAGTTTTCCTGAATAGTTTTAAGTCTCATAGATGACAAAGATTATAGGTAGGAGGCTTCAGGTTTTCCAGAAAGTTTAAACTATAAATTGGGAGCCCGGGATTTGTAGATACGCACTAGTATGTATAAAACAATAAACAGCAAGGTCCTACTGTAGAGCACAGGGAACTGTATTCAGTACCTTGTAATAGCCTATGAATAAGAATATGAAAAGGAATATATACATGTATAACAGAACCACTGTGCTGTACACCAGAAATTAACACTACATTGTAAACCCAAAACAACTATATCTTAAATTACTTACAGCTATCTCCAAGGCATTGAATGCCTTCATTCAAAGTTCTTACTTTCTTTTCTTCCTCATGAAGACATCCTGGAGCATCCTGAGCTCGCCAAGCCTTCTAGGATGGTTTAGCCCTTCTTGAATCATGTTTCTTTACCCCAAACATTCACAGACTCATCCAGCACATTTCTGAGTGGTAGGCATGGTGCCAGAGCCTGGATTTTAAACATTCAATCACTGTAGGGAACCATATGACTTTTTTAACAGTAACAGAAACATTTAAGAAACATTTAAAAAATCATATCTTGATTGTAATGTCGACAGTTCAGCTGCTACAGTGCAGAGCAGAGTATCTTACAGGAGAGGTGACAGAATCATTGGAAAGTTCTAGACAGCAGAAGTGGCCTTCACCCACCTGCTAAAGTTTGCGAAAAACCACCGTTGGACTTGCATTCCTTCCGTCTTGTGGTTGTTAGTATTTACAGAGTCTTCTTTAGACTTGAGTGGACCTTGAGACTTGGCCCAACTCTCAGCAAATTTCCTGGGTGTCAACACAGTCAAATACATGTGAATTTAAAAGCTGAGGATAGACTGGAACACTGTAAACAAAGACAAAGGGTAAATTGGGGGAAAATATTTGCCTTAAGGGCTCATTCCTTAATTGACAAAGAGTTTATATAATTCAGTTGGAAAAAACATACCCGGTGGAAAAGTGGACAAAAGAGGTGAATACAGGCAATTCACATACAAGGGTAACAAATACAAACAGGGAACAAACGGATGAAAATGGTGCTCAGTAGTATTCATAATTAAAGACATGCAAATCAAAGCAACTGTGGATGAATGGATCTTACCTAGCATGTTGCCAAACATGAAAATGTTTGATGATATGAAATAGGCACATTCATCTACTGTGGGTGAGAATGGACTGATTCAGTTGTTTCAAAGGGCAAGTGGGTAGTATCTATCAGAATGTGAATATATATATACACCTCTAACCCAGCAACTCCACTGCTAGGAATTTAACCTAGGAACATACTCAGAATAAGTACCTTAGACCGGACGGATGAGGCGCTGCGGTGCAGTGTGGTCTGCCATATTAGATGTCTGGAAGCAGCTTCAAGGAGTCACTCCAGGGGGCTGGCACCTATGACAAACCCACCAAGGGAAGACCATGGCAGTCATGCAGAGTCAAGTGGAGCAGCTAGGCTCTCAGGGACCTCTTTCTGCAACATTCCATGTGCCCAATTTAAGTCTCGGCATAACAGATAAAACTTTTTTTTAAAAATCTGAAAATAAAAGCAGATACTGTTAGTCTGATGATCAGTGCTGGTGTCACATTTATGACACATGGCCAATGACTTAAATCCTTTTTGGCATATGACACGAGCCTCTGACATGTTGCCAAAGTAAAATGACATAATACATTGAAAATGAAAAATGTTTAAAACTATATAGATCCAAATGGCCAGTATGTAATAACACTTTCAAATGTTAAAATGGAACGATAGTAAGCACGTTTTCCCTTTCTGAAAATGCATCCTTCTCAGAATAATGATAATCATATATAATAATAGCGACAAGCATCTACTTAATACCTCCTATGTACAGACACAGTTATAAAGACCTTCTAGGATTATCTCACATCCTTCTCACAACAGCCCTTTCGGGGGGGGGGTATGTTTAATATCCCCATTTGATAGACAAGAAAACCAAGGGCCAGAGAGGTGAAGTCACCTGTCAGAGGTCACACAGCTGCTAAGTGGCAGAAGCTCCATTAGCAACATTGCTACAAACACCTTCTTTTAAAGGAATCCAGAAATTTCAATGGGCCTTTTCAAACTCACTTCATAAACTGAATGATATCTGTGACACACACAGCTGAAGAAGAAATACAGTGTGTAAATGGTATGCTTGGCTTGCTACATGAAGGTCATCAGGCCAGTGACTCAGCTTCTAGGACCCTCTGTTTCTTTATCTCTGAAGTGGAGATAATGATAGTATCTGAATTAAAAAAATTGCTGCCAGGATTCAGCACTGTTAAGAGCTGAATTGTGTCTCCCTCTCCCACATCCTAAATTTGTTTGTTGAAGCCCTAATCTCCAGTACCTCAAAATGTGACTGCATTTGAAGATAGGGCCTTTAAAGAGGTGATTAAGTTAAAATGAGGCCATTAGGGTGGGCCCTCATCCAATCCGACTAGTGCCCTTAAAAGGAGAGGAAATGGGGACAAAGACACCAGGGATGCTCACTCACAGAGGAAAGGCCCTGTGAAGACCCAGCCAGAAGGCAGCCATCTGCAAACCAAGGAGAGAGGCCTCAGGAGAAACCAAACCTGCCAACACCTTGATCTTCGACTTCCAGCCTCCAGAAATATGAAAAAAAAAAAATCTCTGTTGTTTAAGCTACCCAGTTGTGGTATTTTGTTAGGGCAGCCCTGAAAAACTAATACAAACACAGTTGAAATGACTACCATAGAATCGGGCAAATAGTTAAGTTCTCAAAAAATGGTTTTACTATTATTTCAGTTGTGAATATTCACACAGACTCACACACACACACACACACACACACATACTCACAGCCTTTGTTTTGGCTTCAGGGACATATATCCTAAGGTAAAAAAATCTGGAAAATGCTTCTTTTCCAAACAGTAGACTTTTCATGAAACCTTAATTAAAAGACTAAATATAGTTCAATTTTCAAATGAACAAAATCTAGTTAACACAGGTGAAAAGTCAGTTACTATTACACGGCATCATATTATGACGTTGAAACAGCATGTGACTTTAGAAAGCTCCTTTCCTTCTGAGGCAGCACATGTAGTTAAGTCTAGGTTGTAAAATGATGCCTTTTGGACAGTAATACACAAAAGTCATGACAGAAAAAGAGTGAGAAGATCCAAATATAAACCAGTGTAGACCAGCAGAAAGTACAAATTTCCTTGAATGAAGTTACCTAGATCAGAGCTGGTATATAAATGTCATCTCATGGGCCAGTTGCAATCACTTAAACTTGCATTGAGAAAGGTTCAGATGACACATTTGTGCTCAGGAAAGAGGGCCAGGGTGGATGAGGAATGGCTATTTGATTGTGGTGAGAAGGATAGTTACTATTCTAGATCTGGAAATTGGCTAATGGGCTCTTCTGACTTCCATCTTTTATGTGTAAGGCCCATCGGAGATTCAGGCTATTGTGCAGATTGGATGGATTTCAACACTGTAAGTCAGCCATTCTGAATTCACTAAAAAGTAAATGTTCTTTACACAACTATTTTTTGAGACGTTTAAGCTTTGTTAGCTAAGAACATAAGGAAAACACTGTCTGGAGCTAACAAAGGCCATTAGCCACATTACTTTGGGGGTTGCTCTAAAATTCAAGCTGACAAAATGGAATCAGAGATTTTCAGAGGAAGATAAGTCTTTTTCGAAAAGTCACCATGGTAGCCTTTTGGTTACCACCAAAAGATAGGTGTGTGGCTCATACAAGTGCATCAGTCTCTACCGTTTGACTTAATTCCTGATAAGTGCATATTACCATGGAATAGGCCAGGCTGTGGGATGTGTTATCCACTGGGCTGTGCCCCAGAACATGAGAGGGGACATACTGGCCCCATAATGGCCCAACTCCACTTGCGCCTACCCGGAGGACCAAAGCTCCCACTATAAGCATGAGTCAGGGCTGATGAGGCAGCCAGCCAGCCCCCTCCCCTCTGTGACCCCCAAAGGAGAAAGTCATTCCTAATGATTAACAATTAGCATTTGCATCCAAGGTGCCATGCTGAGCCCAGTTGTCTCAAGAAATGTGCTAAGAGGTCTAAGACTCTGGGGTTTAAGCCCCAGATGGGCCGATTAGCTTCACACAGAGAAACCTCCAGCTTCCCAACCTCAGTCCACCCTGTGGGTTAAGTGGAGGAGACAGAAACAGAGTGACAGAGAGACTGACTCAATCAGGCTCAGCACCAAAGGGCAGGTGCAGCTGAGAGGGCCCCGCCCCCTTCCTCCCCAAGATAATCATGACCAAAGTCATAGTCAAGACCCAATATGCATCACCACAGGGGAAACAGAAGAACATCTTTAATGTTCTAAGTTAGTCGTGGCATCCTAAATGAGTGATGCCTACAGTATCTCACACAGTTCCTTACACGCAGGGATGTGCAGTAAATACCTGTTGACTGACTACACTTCAAAATAAAAATCAGCCTTTTGCTGTTCATTTGCTCTAACAAATTATGCTAACATCTCTGTTAAATCGGTTGTAGTAAGTTGGCTCCTGCAGCAACTGATTGCAGAATGTTAAGGATTCTGCCGAAAGTTTGCAAAGTAAAAAAATAATAAAATCAATCATTACATTACATTAAGTTTTCCTTCAAAATATAAAGTAGAACAAAATAAGGATTGTGTTGGTTTATTTTCAATGTTGAAGATGATCTAGAAGGCTTTAAAGACCTCTTTGAGATTTAAGAAATTCTAACAGGCCAAAAAAATTAAAAAATTCAACAGGCTAGCTCCTGTTAAGATGTTCCCCAATCAGGGGGTGTCCAGGTGGCTTATGTTTATTCCAGCCTCATTCATGCTTTCCAGCTATGCGCAGCAGGGATTTATAAATGGCGTATTTCTCATGCCATTCGGTAAGCAATACCTTCTCAGGCTGGCTTTGCTCGCCACCAACAGAATTGTCATACAGTGGAAAACACTCCAAACAATTGCTTTTTTTCCTGAGAGATGTAAAGAGATGCGCTTTTATATACAGCAAGGAATCCCTTAACTGATTCGGCCTACACTGCACATCTGTCATAGGAACCTTCCCAATTGAAATTACGTTTAGTAATGTTTTTTTTTTAAAAAGTTGCTTCTAGAAGAATGCAATCTCTCCTTCAAATATTGGGTTTTCTAGCATCTTCTCTGAAGAAAGCCCTCAAATTTCTCGGCCCTTCCATCGTCTCCTGCATAGCTCTAATAACCAGAAAGCACAAAGATGGAAAATGAATTCAGGCAGCATAAGTGGTAACCCTCTCCCAAATTTCCTCTTCTCTGCAACCCCGTGGAATACTTTTTGAAGTCACAAGGAGCTCCATGGGAGGGGAGGGCTGCCTTTGGCTGCCAGCAAGCTGAAGTGTTTAGCTACTTAACACGGGGCCACATGTGGCAGCTACAAAAACATCTCCAGGATGTGAAATCTACTTACTTCCACGGTAATCCCCATGCCCTCAAATCTTTGGAAACGTAAGGAACTATGGGATTAGGTAAACTTGGGGGGAAGGATGGAGAGAAAGACCTGGTGATTTGAGTCCAAACTTGTATTGTATAATGAGTCTTGGAATCATGTCCTGCTGTTTTTATTCCACATCATCCTATGAGTCTGCAGTCCCGGGCAGCGAGTGTTCCTTTAACACAAAGGCCAGTGGCATCGGGGATTTGGAAAGCCAACCGATGGGAATAGTAGGTGTTTTGCATTAATTGTAAGTCAGAAGGAAATACATGTCAGAGTAGATCTCTAACAGTGCTTTGGCTAAGCACTGGCCTTATCTAAGTTACTCTAGAGTATACCTACCTTTATCCTGTGGACAAAGGGTTGTGTGCACTTGCCAAAAATGGTCTGGGGCCAGCTTTTGTGCACTTTGCCTGCTTGCACTACAGATTCTGTTCCTACTGCTTCCAGCGAGCCATCAACTGCTAAATGCTCACCCTGTTAAGTGATGGGTGGCCGGAAACGTTAGGCTTCCATTTTCTCCTGAGTGCTGACAGGAGTTGGACCAGATAGATGATGACCTCTGTGATCCTTTCTTCCTCTGAGATGTCATGACTCCAGCCAGTGAGTCTGTGATGCTGAAATGTAGGTGGAGGAAAACACCACAGAAACCAGCAGAACATGACTGTATCAGCAGAAGCCTTAGATCAGACAGACCCGGGTCCAAGTCCTAGTTCACTCATTCATGAATCCCATGAACTTGAGTGAGCAACTCACCTTCTTGGAGCTTCAATACCCTCACTTATAAAAATAGGAATGATAGGGATAATCTGTCCCTGATGGGAATTAAATGAGACCATGCATGTTACACATGTGGTGTGGTACCCAGCACATAGGAAATGCTCGATAGATGTGCACTCTCGTTATTAACATTATGAACCAACTTCCAAACCCAGA